CGTTGAACAAAGAATAGGGCAAAACTTTTTTTTCGAAAAGATGAAGAAGAAAAAAGGTAATGCATAACGTGATAAAACTAGTAAGCTACAGTATATTGTTCTTGTTGGAAATAAAAAATGCAGAAACAATTCTTGCGCAATCTATGTGCAATAACCTAAATAATGACGGTTGCGGAGGTGAAGAGGAATTGTAGTCATTCTCACAAAGTTTAACTGGTCGTTTTCAAGAAGGAAAAAAATGTTGAAATTATGCCTGACTTAAATTTGAGATTGTTGTGCTATCTATGCGCGGTAACCTAATCAAATAACAAGAAAAAAAAAGGAATGTCAGTTACGGAGGTTAAGATTAATTGTAATCATTCTCAGAAAGTTTAACTAATCATATTGAAGAAGAACAAAAAAATTAAAATTATGCCCAACCAAAATCAGAATTAATCTTAAAAAATTATTTCAAATGTCAATGTGTAATATACTAAAACAAAATCATTGGTTCAAAACCCAAAAAACCATTCCAAATCCTCATTCCTATTATAACTAAAAAGTTAAATTCCAACAGAATAAAATGTTCATACGCCAAAAGTTTTGATTTCATTAGAATTATTATTTATAGAGATACATGAATGTAATCTAACGCGAGTATGCCTATGGGTATATATACATAATAGAAAGGGAGAGAGGATGGATGAATCATTTGCGTGTGCAGGTACAAAGACATTTTGATTTGTCTTAATTTTTATCTAGTATATATTTTTAATTAACAAAAAAAATTTAAAAATATATTTTTAGATACGTTGTGTTCTCTTGATTGTGGAGAAATATTTTTAAGGATTTTTTGTCAATTAAAAATACGTACTAGGTGAAACCTATGACAAATCAAAATGTTTTATATTAAGGATCGGAAGGAGTATATACTTTCTTCGTCATGAAATCATTGGGGATAAAAATTGGGGTATACTCGAAAGTTGGGGATCAAAACTAATCTAACTAGACACCATAAGGCATATTTAGGTTATACTCGAAGAACAAGATGTAAAGAGTGTAAATTTGGATCAAATTCAACTAACTTCGTACATTACGTTGTAATCAACTCTTTTCTTATTTACAAGCTAAGGACATTTAGGATAGATCTTCAAAATGAAGTGGACCTACGTACATCTATACGGAGAAATGTTTCTGTTATTGATCTCACACAGAATTCTTTTTGTATTAAAAAAAAGGGGAGGATAATGATAGTTACAACAAGATGTGAAGGGACTGCAAACAAGAAGAAACTGAAGGAGAATAAAGACACAGGCCACACCTTTTACATAATTGACTTTAAAATGCTTCCAAGTGGGACTGACTTGGAATAATAAAAACACGTTGAATGATGAGGAAACCCTATGTAATAAAGCAGTAACATAGGCTGACTGATGAGGAAACCCTGTATAATATAGAAAGACTAAACCCCATTGTCCGTTACAAATGGCCAAAAGAAAATTTTGGTCCCTAGTAAAACAATATAGTGATTTTGGTGTGTACAAATTCATTTCAACATTTTTGGTCCAAATATAATTGAACCGTCTTTGTTGACCGTTTGTCCAAAGTCAACAGGGTATTTTAGAAATTTATATTGTACACTGTTTTTGAAATTTTAAAAAACCTGAAAGATAATACTCCCTCCGTCCCATAATTATTGTCCAATTTTACTAAAATGAAAGATTTTATTTTTGGTCAAACTTAACTATGTTTTACCTTAAACAACCGGATATACCCTACATAACTAATTGTTTAACCACTAAGATTTTATAGATAATGCTTTTTACTAAGGACAAATGTGTAACGTGATCCATAAAAAGTCAAATTGGACAATAATTTTGGGACAAAATTTTTTGGGCAAAGTGGACAATAAATATGGGACGGAGGGAGTAAAAAATGAAGTATTATTTATTTATTTATTTTTTTGAATTTTAAATTTCAAATTTTTCTTACTCAATCCTTAACTCTTTTTTGAATTTAAGCATTTTGATTAGATTAGAGTCTTGGAACGAGACCTTAAGCTAATAAAAATACTTAAATTCAAACCATATTCATATCATATGTTGTAATTTTTTGAAGTTTCAGTACTATAGTTACAAAGTAGACATATTAAAAAATTAAGAATATAAAATCATAATTTTAAATTTTTTAAAAAAATTATACTTAAAATATATATCCCCATAGTTAAATAAGCTGGATATTTTAAAACGAGTTAATTGTCATGTTTTTCAAAGTATTAGTTCTTTTTATTATCTTCCCATTGGTTTTATACGGAGGCGATGGTTTAGGAATATATTAGCACCTAGCTTCTGGAACAGAAACTAAGAACTAACTGCCTAAGAAATGATTTGAGTTAGATGTCCAAATAAACTCCAACCTAAGAAATTATTACATGTTCTAATTAATATGTTATCGCTAACAACAACAACAGTAATGATGGTTGAAATAAATATTACTTACTGGAGAGAGATCATGCTAACTAGCCAGTTGTTCTATATACTATTAATTTGTTAATCCCTGAGTAGCAAAAATTAATACAGATCAATCTCGTTAATCATCACCAACTCAATCTCAGTCACCTATGATCACTAGTTTCTTACCTAAGGGCTTTCCCATCAAGAAGCAAAAGTTAATACAGATCAAATCATCTGTCTATGACCACTAACATCTTTCTAGCGACCGGTCTAAGGCTTTCCTGGAGAAGGTGGATGAAACTAAGCTAAAGAGATCTAATGGTTACTGTAGTTATAATTAACCGTGCACCTTGGTTTAACAAAATGACACTTCAAATCATCAACTTCAGACAACCATATCTTTTAGCAAAACAGTAAGAAATTATGCATTTGATGAAACAAATGAACATCATGAGCTCAAGGAGAGGGTAAATATATCATTTATCAGCTACAAACTTAAATAACCGATCTCTTACATGAACTATTACACCCTCTCCAATACATAACCAAGCTGATGATGCACTCGATTCATGATCAGAAATCCTCCATCACGAACCTGTCAAAAGGATTCAATAACCACATAAAGATACACTAATAGTTTAATCGTCCCAAAGCGACTGGGTTTTTTTCCTTAAAAAATGCAAAATACCCAAAAAAAAGAAAAAGGAAAATAAAGTCCTTGAAAGGGCTGCATAAAATAAAAATAATAATACTCCTACGATGAGAAAATAAGACTTCTTTCTTATTATATTGCTCTAGTACACGAACAAATTAAAATTCAAAAAGTTTCGGAACAAAGTCATTGTAATTATAATAACAGATGGAGAGGATTCTGTATAGCAATATTTGCAGGATCGCGATTCTACGTAGGATCGAAATGGGGCATAGGATCGGATCATAAACGGGATCGGTAGGATCAGAATAATAGAATCGTAAAATTAATTATACATGTTATATAATTAATTGATTTAATAATTAGGTTTAATTATCTTTAAATAAAGTATTTAACATTTAAACAAAAAGAATCGTGTAAATTTAATTTTCTTATGTGAATTTTTTTCTTTAACTTTTTAATTACTCTTCTCTTATAGTTATTCTTTTGATTTTGTTAGAAAAATTTTCTAAAATACATTTTTCTTAGCAATAGAAGTTTCCTCAATGAATATTAGCCGCAATTGAACGTAGACCAAAAGAAATAAGAGAATTTTTTTTTCAATAAACTCAATTAATTTTTTGTAATTAATGAATAGTAAACTCAAACCGATCCTACGATCCTGAACGGTTATGTACGATTCTAGCTGATCTTGACCGATACTACTCCGATCCCACTGCAAAATTCGAGTTTGATTGATTAAGGATCGATTTAGGTACCTGAGATCGTAGGATCGGATGATCGTCCAATCCTACGATCCAGGATCGCGAGTTTGCAAACTATGGTGTATAGTATACGACCGGTAGTCTTTCTTAGGAAGAAGAAAAAAAAAGGATAATGCATAAAAAGTAGTAAACTAACTTGTTCAGTGAAAAAGAAAATGCAGAAAAATGCCTTATCGTGCATTCAGTGCGCAATAATATAATCGAGTAATAGGAAGAGGGGAAAAGAAAAATGAATGACGAATACGTACGGAGGTTAAGATGCATTGAAATAATTTCCACCAAATTTAATTAAGCATAGTCAAGGAAAAAAATGATTTAGAACGTTAGTGTGTAATATAAAAAAAAATGTATTCGTTTGAAGCCCAAAAAAAGAAAGAAACATTAATTTTAAGTCCTTCGATTAATATATACGATAAAACAAAATGGTCACATGAATATATTGTCCATTTTTAGTACAAATTAAACTATAAGTAAAAATCTAAATTGGAAAATAATTTTGGGACAGAGAAAATAATAACAAATGGTGAGCATTGTGTTTATAAAATATATGAGCGACAGGTTTTTTAGCAAGAAGAAGAAAAAAGGATGATGTACAAAACTAGTAAACTAAATTGTTCATAGAAATTAAAAAAAATAACTGGGGAAACATATAATTGTGCAACTAGTGCGCGTTAACGTAGTCGGGTAATAGGACAAGGAGGAAAAAAGGATTGACGAATACGAGGTGAAGATGCATTGTAATGATTTTCACAAAGTTTAACTAATCATGTTCAAAATTTAAAAAAAAAAGTTAAATTGTGTTCGACTCATATACTAAAAAAATATTGTTGTTGCCCAATAATTTTACTTTGGACTTTATAGTTAGAGGAGAGGTGGGAGTCTCTCCCCCTTCCTCCCAACCACCACCCCACAACAATACCTTTATCTACGGTAGTTGGGGGAGTCAAATTTCTTTTTTATTTTATTTTTTTTTTCCTTTGCTCAAATAAAATTAATGTAGCGGACACTAATTGATCCGACGACAGGTTCTAGACGAACAGCTCCACACGAATCATTGAAGAATAGCTGCTGCTGATGTAGATCAGGCGCTGTCCTGGGATCGTTGGCCGTGGATTAGCCGCTTGGCAGTGTTAACTACCATAGTCTGAGTTGTTACTCAGATCTGATTCTGCTGCCGCCGCCAGAATGCTCCTCTCCCCGCCGCCTCAATCTCCCGCAGAAGTAGCTGTCGCGCCAAAACTTAACGCATCTGGCCGCCCCCATTCTGTCTTGACAGATGCAGATTGAGACTCTGATGTCTAAGATCTGAGTGCCAGCGAGAAGTCCGACGCTACGGAGGTCCACCGTCTGCTGCTGCAAGTCGGCAGCCGTCACAACCGTCACCACCATCAAACCAGCTTTGCCGGCCATTCACAAAGCCGGGCATCCGGCTCCCTGTTACACAGCCGTTTCGTCGGCCAACTCTCAGAAACCGGTCCGCCGGTCCTCAATATCCGGTGAGCCAGTACATATTGGCTCGCCAGTTTGGGTTACAAACAAACCGAATTGGTTTACACAGTTATTTCATATGTTTGGTTTAGGTTCAGAGTCGGATTAATTATATTTTAGTAACTATTTTGGTTTATACAGTGTTCATTTTCCTGTATATCACTCATAAATTTGGATTGTCCATATACCTACTAAACGCGGCAGTTCAGATCTCTGATCCGAAAAAGGCAAATCACGATGACATGAAATTTAACACGTAGTTTTTCTTTATTGAGTTTCTAGAAAAATAGTTCTGAAAAGTCCAGAAAATACCAGACATTAGACATAATTTTGTATAGGTCTATTTAGGTCTCTTTTGAAAGTATCAGTATATTTACTGATATTTGAATCTCTGTTTTTTTTTACGATCTCTTATACATGGTAAGTCTTAAGCACTACCCTGAAAAATATTTCTGGTTATCTACAAATTTTCCTGGTAAAAAAAAAAAAATTGTTCGTTGCCCAAAAAATAAAAAATAAAAAATTCAAGTCCTCCTGATCTACCAAAAACGTACAAAAATCTTCCTATGAATATATGTAGATTATAGGGAAAGGAAGAGACAGACAGACGAATCTTCCGCGTGTGTAGAGACAAAAACTATTTTTCAAGTTGTGATGCGTATATTCCAAATACATTCATTTTATATCAGTTACTCAATCAATTTGTATTTTTAGTAAAAAATGTAATAGCTAGTAATTCTAATACAATGATCACTGCGGGACATAGACAGTTTATGAGAACTTTTGAGATCCAAATAATTTTTATTTATTTTTTATCAAGGGGAGGATCCAAAGAATATTGGTGTGTTTACATGTCTGAAATTTAAAAAGAAATGGTGGTTTTTTTTTGTTTTTTTTTTTAAAACAAAACCTTAATAGTATACTTTAAAAATAAGAAACAACATAATGAATTCATTTTATTTAATTTCGTTTTTTTTCCTCCACTAACGAAAAATTGAGAGCTTAGGTTTCGCCTGAATCTCAGGTTTTTGCTTTATTTTTTTCATCGAATTCTTTGACTGGATAGCGCTTCAACTTCATAGGAGATATCATAGGCTCAAGGCTATTCAGGCTTTAAGCTTTGGAACCGAATCACTTTGTTATATCCGGAATCAACGAGTATAGCTCCGGCAAGAGAATCCAATACATACATTAATTGTCTCCGAATTCCATCCAAAATGTTGAGACCAAACTTGATTGCTTAACTTCGGGAACAGCATTGACAATGTGCCGAAGAAGCTCATGGGAAGCATGTAGAATGTGCTCGTGTAGTCCAGCCGATGAAGCTCGCCCGATTGCGAATACCATAATTGTTCACCTAATTCAGACCTTAATTAGATCGGTTAAGAGTCTATGAGACAATGTTGGGTGTTTTAGATAGAGGTGCATGGTGATGAGATCATCCAACATAGCATCCCCAAGAAATTCAAGACGCTAGCTCATAGCATCTTGGACTTTCAAAAAGTAATACTTTTTTATGTCGCCCCAAGATGTATTACGTTATTCCTAGATTTTGACTCTAGAAATTCGATATAGTGTTTTAGCTAGGAGTCTTCCCTAAGCTTATGGTTATTTGTATTAACCAAATAATAATAATAATTCAGGGAGCATGTATGAACCGTGAGTAAGTGCTTCAACAAAAGAGGAAAGCATCCTGGAATTTGTTGTTTAACAGAGCCCTTCAGGTGATGTACGTTAACTAACTTCTCCGGACTTTACATGCAGGAGCATTGAAATAAGGAGCGCAACTCAAGTCAACTTCAATTCCAAGCCATTTCATAAAATTACAACGCCACGGTTTCAAGTGAAAGCACCAACGTTTTTATTCTTGCGAACCTAGACTTTCAAATTTGTCTTCTCTCTCTCTCCCCCCTTCAACTATAAGGAGCATATTAAACTTGACCAATTTTTCACAATCTCACGTAGCTCATATGGAACCAATGAATTGGATCTCTGCTGAATGATTTTGAGGGCATGCACAACTGCATCTTTCTCAATGGGGTCATGAACTGGCACCGATTTCCATCGAAATCCACAAGCATCTGTTTTAACTCCGAAATCCGATGGAGTAATAGTTCATTGAATCGATAATTGATCAGGAGTTTCGTCGTGTTTTCTCTGCAAAACCTCGACTCATGATCACTGACGATCCGAAATGAAAAAAGAGCTAGGTGAATGATTTTTATTTTATGGTTTTAAAAGAGTAATAAAAAAATAAAATTATATCATTATAAAATTACATTGATTAAAAAAAAGCCATATGTTTTCTCATATGTTTTCTCTCTCTTCTTTTCTCTCTCAGCGCATGACAGCTAAAGTGCGCCGCCATGGCAAAAGGAAAGGGCAGGCGGAAGAAGACGGCAAAGAAGACCAGAACGGAAAGCTTGTTGACTAGGGAAGCAATTTCACCGAAGGAGACTCTGGAAATGGACCGAGGCGAACCAGATCTGGGAATAGGAAAGAGTTGTTCAGAGGTAGGGGAGCCATCGAGATCAGAACCAGAAGCATCACAAACCCTAAGTGAACTACTGGGTATCAGTACATCACGCCGGCTGGTTTGGCTGAAGGATAATGGACATGGAAAATAGGATAACTCTACGGTGTGGACGTCTTTTGATGCGAAGAAGATGGAAAAAGTGGGGGCTTCGTTGGGGTTCTTCAAGCCGAAATTGGTAGAAGGCAAGCAGCTGGCATTTGTTCAAAAAGAGGCTGTGATATCGGAGGCGGAATACTGGAGTTCGTCGGTTATCAGGTTTGTATTAGGTGCCAACCCCCCGATTAAAGTCATGGAGAGGTATTCCTAGCAGATGTGGCAAAATTTGGGGGTTGAAAAAGTGCTTATCCTCCCCTCTGGTATGTATCTAATGAAATTTGCCTCTAGTAATACTAGAGATGAAGCTTTAAAAGTTCCTGTTTATCATATGGGGGTAAATCTAGTTGTTGTTAAACCTTGGGATGTGGCTAAGGGTTTGAATCATAAAGATATCAAGCATGTACCTGTCTAGGTGCCGTTCCCGGGTCTTGAATTGAAATTTTGGAACCCTGATACTTTGGGTAGAATTGCTAGCACCCTGGGAATCCCAATAGCTGCTGATGAACCAACCACTTATAAGGACAGAGCGACTTATGCTAGAGTATTAGTGGACGTTGAAATACCGGATCAACCTCCCCTGACAGCACATTTCGTTGATGAACAAGGTGTGGTTTGTAAACAACCCGTGTATTATGAGTGGCATCCTACAAAATGTAGCCATTGCAGTAACTATGGTCATGGTGTGGAGGACTGTAGGAAAAAAGCAAGTGGCTGAAAAGGCTAAACATGAGGTAAAGGCAATGTCTCTCAACAAGGAAAAAGAGAAAACTGCATGGAGGAATGTAACAAAGGAGAAACAAGGGGTGACAACACCTGGTAAATTTCAACAGACAATGGAAACAGAGGGGTAGGAAATAAATAGGCAGAAAGGGGAACAGTTAAAGCTACCAGACAAGAGTAAGGCGGGTTTTGTTAATGATGATGGAAATAGTTTCACAGTGCTGGCCCAAATGGTAGAAGAAAATGTACAAGCTGGAACAGAGGAGGTGGAAGTGGTTACTGAAGATGAGCAACAAATAGTAAATGAAGTTGAAAAAGGGACGATCTGGCAAATTGACCCCGGAATCCATGTATAAGCTCTTACACTGTTACAAGGGGTTTGAATAGTCGCTTGAAACAAGAGGAGGTTGTAGAATATGTTCTAAATTTAATATTAGTTTAATATGTCTTGTGGAGACTAAACTGAATCAGGAAAAAGTCATGGAGTTCCAAAATAAATTTTGGCCTAGTTATGGGATCTTCTCAAATACTTAAGTTAATCAGAAGGGTAGAATTTGCTTATTATGGGATCCTCAACTAGTAGAGGTTACTATTCTAAATGTTTCTCAACAACTGGTGCACTGTTTAATGAGGAAAAAGCTAGATGGTGAATATATAGCTGTCACAGCAGTATATGGATCTAATAGTTTAGGTGAATGGGCAGAATTATGGGAGCAGATGAGTACTATAGCAGGCAGTGTGCAGGTACCTTGGATAGCTTTAGAGGCAATAGAGTTTCAGTTATGGAAACGCAGGGGTTCCAACGGTGTGTCCAAGAATGTGAGCTACAAGACTTGAAACAACAAGGTAACAGATTTACATGGACTAATAAACAGGTAGGTCCGAATAGAATATGGTCCAGAATTGACAGAGTACTAGTCAATGGAGAATGGATTCTGGGATACCCTAATTCAATAGCTACGATGTTGAATGAAGGTATCTCGGATCACTGCCCAATTCTAGTTCAGATGGAATGGGAAGTGATAAAGAAGCCAAGGCCTTTTAAATTCTTTAATATGTGGTGCCAGGCTGAGAACTTCACAGAAATTGTAAGGGAAAGTTGGTCACAGGAGGTTCAGGGCACTCGAATGTTCCAGATAGCCAAGAAGCTCAAAAGGCTGAAGCCAGTTCTAAAAAGGTTGAACAAGGAAAAGTATGCTGAGATACAAGTGCAACAACAATATTGGGAAGAGCAGCTGAAACACACGCAGGAAAGGTTACATGCTAACTCTAATGATGAGTGCTTGCAGGAGCTGGAAAGGGAACAATACCGAAAGTATGTGGAGATTAGTAAGGCAGTGGAAAGTTTTCTTCATCAGAAAGCTAAAGAGACATGGATCAAACTAGGAGATGCTAATAGTGCTTTCTTTCATGCAAAGATGAGAATTAGAAGTATGCGAAATCGAATATGCTCAATTGTAAATGAAGAAGGGACAATGATAACTGACTGGAGCATCATCCTCAAGCATTTCACAGATTTCTTTCAGAGACAGTTGGGACAAAGAAGTGATAGACAAAGCTCAAGGGAAGCGGTTTTCAGATGGGGGAATAAACTTGACTGGAAGCAACAGATGCTACTAATTAGGGACATTAAACCGCAGAAAGTCAAAGATGCTGTATGGAGCATTCATTGTGGAAAAAGTCCTGGACCAGATGGCTTCAGGAGTGGCTTCTTCAAGGGAGCTTGGCATGTTGCGGGGAAAGATATCACAGGGGTAGTGTTGAAATTTTTTGAAAATGGGAAAATGATGAAGCAGATGAACTCTACAACCCTAGTACTGATACCAAAAATAGCAGCCCCTCAGAATGCCGAAGAATACAGACCAATAGCCTGTTGCTTTGTGGTATACAAGGTAATATCTAAAATACTTTGTGATCGTTTGAAATGTGTTGTGCCTAAGTTAATTGATGCAAACCAAAGTGCATTTGTTAGTGGTAGATCTATTTTGCATAATGTATTGCTCACTCAGGAAATTGTAAGATTGTATGGGAGGAGAAATATAAGTGGTCATTGTTTGTTTAAAATAGATATAAAGAAAGCCTATGATTCTCTGGAATGGGAGTTCATAGAGGAGATGCTGGAGGGATATAATTTTCCTAGATCTTTTAGTAACCTGATTATGGAATGTGTTAGATCCACTTCATACACTCTAGGAATAAATGGTGAGAACTGTGGTTTTTTCGAGGGGAAAAGGGGACTTAGACAGGATGATCCTATGTCACTGTTACTTTTTGTTATGGCAATGGAATTTTTGTCCCGTCTGATGAAGGAAGCTGCCAAGGATCCGAAGTTCAAATTCCATCCCTAGTGCAGAAGCCTAAAGCTCACAAACATCTGTTTCGCCGACGATCTGATGACAACTATACTGTTACAAAAGTTATGCAGGCGTTGGAAGAATTTGTAGGTACTTCGGGTCTCAAACCTAACTCATCCAAATCTGGTGTGTATTTTGGTGGAGTCTCGAAATGTACCAAACAAGATATTCTTAGAATCTCGGGTTTTGGTGAGGAAAAATTTTCAATGAAGTACCTGGGTGTTCCCTTGTCACCCAGGAAGTGGAACCAGACAGAGTGTGATATGCTTGTGCAGAAGATGGTGGCAAAAATCAAATGCTGGAGTACTAGGCATTTGAGTTATGCTGGGAGGGTTCAATTAATTAACACTGTGTTGATGGTCATGAACATTTACTGGGCACAGGCCTTCATCCTGCCAAAAAACATCACTCAACAAATTACTAGTGTATGCCGGGACTTTCTGTCGAGTGTGAAAGAGAATGGGAGGAAAATGCCACTAGTCAACTGGGAAATAATATGCAGACCAAAAAAAGAAGGTGGGTTAGGCATAAAGGCTGCACAAAGATGGAATGAAGATGCACTGTTTAAGCAGGTTTGGAATTTAGCAAGCAAATCTGATCATCTTTGGGTTAAATGGATACATGAACATTATATAAAGGATGGTGATCTACGGAGCTTGCAACAGAAGCAAGACTCTAGCTGGCACTGGAAACAATTAGTGAAGCTAAAAGAAAAGATGATAAAGGCAGTAGTGGATGGTATATACAATTATTCAGCAACTGGTAATTATACTGTCAGTTCTGGCTACAGTTGGTTGATGGGGGAGGTGAACAGATACCCTGGAGCTAAGTTCATTTGGTCTAGGTACAATGTACCAACACATTCTTTTATCTCTTGGCTCTGTTGGAAGGGGAGACTATTAACTAAAGATAGACTCAACAAAATGTTGGTACAGGTGGATCTAACTTGTGTTTTCTGCCAACAGGACCAAGAAACTGCAGAACATCTCTTCTTTGAGTGCAAATTTTCTAAAGAACTGTTAAAATTAGTGAATCAATGGCTCCAGATCAATCTACCTTGCACTCAACATGGTTGGAGAAGGATGGTCCTTAGAGTAAGGGGAAGAACTCAACTTAAAAAGGAAGGTACTTTATGCCACAATAGCGGGGCTAATCTATCACCTATGGGAGGAACGAAATGCAAGAAACTTCAAAGGGACTGAAAGAACATGTGATCAAGTGTTGCTGACCATTAAAAAAGAGGTGAAATGGAGAGTACAGGGATGTTTGAAAACACTATACAGGGAAGCAGAACAAAGAATTCTGGAGTTGTTTCTTAGCTTAGAAGACTGTTAGAGTGTAAATAGGCCTATATGTATGTAATAGAGCACTTTGGTTGTAAATATTGGACCCTCAAGTCTTCTTCCCAGTAATATATTTACAGTTTCACCAAAAAAAAAAATACATTGATTTTTGGGATTTTTGACAAATAAACGATCGTCCATCATAAAATACAATTTTTAGGCCATATCCGTTTTGTTAATTTGACCCGTTCTACCGCCCTTTGCCAAATTTTTTATTTTCTTTTCCGAACTAAATGAAATTTGGGTGCACAGGTTTCGCTCAAAGTTTTTAATTAGCTTTTGCTCCACGTAGTCACAACTTTAAGTTATCATTAAGTTTCGACTGACGAAATTCGTCAACATTGATCCATTTAATGAAATTTTTCAAAAATTGTTGGCGACTCCCTTAATCCGTTAATTCCATTTTGTTCTTATTTTCCTTTGACATGGGTTCCATTAACATTTGACCACAAAAAGTAAAAAAAAAAAAAAAAACTCTTTTTCTATTTTTCATTTTCATTAAAAAAAAACCCATATTGGGAATATGGATTAATCCGGTCGAAATCAGGATGTCTTTCGGACCTTATTCACCAACAATAGTTTTATTCACTGGGTACATGAGTCGTGCACATTGACTGAAATTTTCACTTGAATGATTTTTATTTTTTTTTTGATAGGAAGAAAGTCTTTATTTTATTTTTATCTTCTTGTTATTGGGTAGTTGTAAAGAACTTTTTGGGTCACCGAGCAAAGAACATGGCCATACTTTTTTCGGAAAGATGAAAAAGAAAAAAGGTAATGCATAAAGTGATAAAACTAGTAAGTTATTTTGTTCTTAGAAGTAAAAAAAAATGCAGAAACATTCTTGCGCAATCTATGTGCAATAACCCAAAAGATATGGGATAAAAAATAACGGTTCGGAGTGAAGAGGCATTGTAGTCATCTATTGATGACGATATTTATGAGAGCAAGATGAAAAAAAGAAGCTTGTTGGACTATCTCAAGTATCACTGCAGGAAACAAGGAGCAGATCCAGGAGGTGATTGAAAATTGTATTATAAGTCCTGTTGTTGAACTGTGTTTGAATGCTGAGTTTGAGGCAAAGAAGGAAGCTGCTTGGGCTCTTTCCAATCCTATATCTGGTGGAACTCTTGAACAGATTAAGTTCGTAATGAGCCAGGGTTGCATTATGACGAAGCCATTGTGTGATCTTTTGGTCTGTTCCGACCCGAAAGTAATCCTTGCGTGCTTGATAGCTCTGGAAAACATTTTGGAGGTTGGAGAAGTTGAGAAAAATCTTGTTGACACAGGAAGTGTAAATGTCTTTGCTAAGATGATTGATGAAGCTAATGGTAAGGAAAAGATTGAAAATCTCCCAATCTGCAATGACAACGACAACAAAATCTCATTCTCACAAAGTTTAGCTAGTCGTATTCAAGAAGAAAAAAAAATGTTAAAATTATGAGATTGCTGGGCTATTTATGCGCGGTAACCGAATAAAACAAAAATGAATGTGTGTTACAGAGGTTAAGGTTAATTGTAATCATTCTCAGAGATATATATTTCTGCATTCTTTTTTTTTTTTTTAAAAAAAATTCTATAAGAACAATAAAGCTTATTAGTTTTATGGGTAACGTTTTCTTTCTTCTTCTTCTTTCCAGAAAAAGTAACTTGTCATATTCTTTTTTAAAAAAATATAATGACTTTTTTTCCCCTAAAAACGTACTTTAAAAATCCGAAACAATACAGTGAATTAATTTAATTTAATTTAATTTTGGTTTTACCCACTAACGAAAAGTTGAGAGCTCAGGTTTCATTTTTATTTTTTTTATCCAATTCTTATACGGGATGCGCTTCAACCTCTCTGAAGTTATCATAGACTCAGCAAGAGGCTTTTTATCCGTTTTTGAACAGAATCTCTTTGTTATATCCCGAACCAACGAGTATTGCTCCGGCAAGAGACTTCATTACGTACGTCGTCTCCGAATGCCATCCAAGAGAGACCGACCTTAATTAGATCGGTTGAAAGGCCAGGAGACAGTGCTGGGCCTTTGAAATAAAGGTGTATGGTGATGAGATGATCCAACACAGCATCCCCAAGAAATTCAAGACGCTAGCTTATAGCATCTTGTAATAGGTATCTTCATGTATTGTTTACTAATGGTAGGTGACTATGATCATCTTCTGTACGTTTATATGTAATATTATTAAGTCATAGGCAATTAACTTTTCCAAAAAAAAAAAAAGAATAAATAAAAAGAAGAATTTCAGGGAGCAATTAAAAAATATTTTTTTATGTCGCTCCAAGATGTATTCCGTTATTCCTAGATTTTGACTCTAGAAATTAGATATAGTGTTTTAGCTAGGAGTCTTCCCTAGGCATATAGTTATTTGTATTAAATAATAATAATACCGGCAATAGGTCTGAAAAAGTATCTTTAAATATTCAATTTAGATATTTGTACTCAATCGAAGTAAGGAACCACGTCATATATGTTTGGAATAGATTCCATTTTGAGAGAGTTGAACAGGCACTATCTCATTGAAAAGTTCTATACAACTGACCTTTATCGACGCATTTCTTTAGACAAAGATCCGTTCCTTTCTCCTTTCGGATGGTAAATATTTCTCAGAACATGAACTGTGAGTCAAACCATGTTTGAATTGAAATTGCGATAATTGAGGGAGTATGTATGAACCATGAGTAAGTGCTTCAACAAAGGAGGGAAGCATCCTGGAATTTGTAGTTCAACAGGGCCCTTCAGATGATGCACGTTGACTAACTTCTCCGGACTTTACTTGGAGGTGCATTGAGAAAAGGAACCTAACCCAAGTCAACGACAATTCTAAGCCATTTCAAAAATAGTAAGGCTGGCTGTTTAAGGGCCTCAACATGCAAAGGGAGAAACGACGAATGAATCTTCTGTGTGTAGGGAGAAGACAGTGTTTATAGGATGTTGTGTATGTATTTTTGTCCTCCCAAAATGATGATTTGATTCTTAGTTTTATTTGTAATAAAAATTATGTATATACAAGTAATAATACTTTGGTATATATATATTTTTATTTATTTTGAAGAGCGGTGTAGTTTGAGTATACGTATAATTTGGGATCCACAGGAACTAGGTGGGTTTGCTGGTCTGAAATTAAAAGGCAAAAATAAAATAAAAAATTAAAAATAAAGAAAAAATCTCACTACCCAAGTACAAATAAGAAAAAACAACATAGTGAATTCATTTTTAATGTGTTTTTCTTTTCCCAACAAACGGAAATTTTGGTGCGCATGTTTCGCCCAGAATCTCTGTAGCTTCCACTCAACGTACGTAGAACATAATTAAATAGGAGGGTAGAATTTTCATTTAAAGTAAGGAGTGGATTTGTACAAAGAAAAGAAAAAGACATAATTAAATAAGTGTCGCTATGAAATACTATCAGACAAAAAATTTATAAGCACCGAATCAATTAAGGAAATCTAGCAACGGAGCCACCGTTCACGGTCCTTCCATGGAAGCTTACGATGGACGTTCTTGGACGAGTTGCGTCTTCTTTAGTAGGTGATCTTTACAACGCAAAATTATGTTATGTTTTCACGTGAATATATATATATATATCTATATATATATATTATATATATTTGGAACAGAGAAAGTATATTAATATTTATTGTATTTTCTTGCTACTGTATAGTTCTAACGAACTTTTTGGGGTCGCCGAGCAAAGAATACGGCCATAATTTTCTCGGATAGACGAAGAAGAGAAAAGGTAATGCATAAAGTGATAAACCTAGAAAGCTATATGATTCTTAGAAATAAAAAATGCAGAAAACATTCTTGCGCAATCTATGTGCAATAACCTAAATAAATGGGGAAAAAAATGACGATTGCGGAGGTGAAGAGACATTGTATTCTCACAAAGTTTAACTAGTCGTATTCTAGAAGGGAAAAAAAAATGTTGAAATTATGCCAGACTTAAATTTGAGATTGTTGTGCTACCTACGCGCGTAAACCTAATCGAATGAAAAAAAAAAGGATGTCTATTATGGAGGTTAAGATGAATTGTAATCATTCTCTAAAAGTTTAACTAATCATATTCAAGAATTCTAGTAGGTCAAGGAGGTGAAGAACTTCGCAGAGCAATGTATTGAGAACGAGCATGCTGAGCATCATCAAAATGAAACGGGCCAGAAGGATCTGCATTCTAGGGAACAACAATATGTTCCCCGTCGGGGTTCCCGTGGCATGAGTGGTGGTGGCCGTAGGGGATACCCTAACGGCCGTGGAGGGCGTGGTAGTGGCAGGGGAGGTGGCTACCGGAATGGGGGTGGTCGTTACCAATATTATGACCAGGGCGGAAATTACTATTCGAGGAATAGTAGGTAGGGGGAGCAGGGCAGGAGTTATGGGGGAACCATAACCATCAAGGCAGGCCGGGTTCAATCTGGGTATACTCCAGTAGATTTCTAAACCATGGTGGGATTTAGTTGTTAGTTTCGTTATTTTGGGGGGGAGGGGGTTCTGGAGGGTAGAGGGGGTCTGTTCATTCAGAGATCCATCCAAAACCCGTTGAACTCTTGAAAATATGGATTATATTTTTGGGAATGAGGTGTTTCAGTGAAAGTTTGTACTTTTAGATTCTCGTAAATTGCTTTTTATCTTTGCACTGATAAAAAAGAAAATCATATTCAAGAAGAATAAAAAATTAAAATTATGCCCAACTAAAATCTGAATTAATTAATTTTGAGAATTGTTTCAGATATACTAAAACAAAATTATTCGTTCGAACCCCAAAAAAACATTCCCAATCCTCATTCCTATTATAAGTAAAAAGTTAAAATTCTAACAGAAAGTTGGAAGTAAGGAAAAATAGAGTTAATGTTCTTTGGATTTTAAATTTAAGGAAATTAAAGCAAAATATATTACTTTAATGATCGTAGTTATAATTAACCCTGCACCTTTAGTTTAACCAATGACACTTCAAATCATCAAATTCCGACAACCATATCTTCTAGCAAAATGGTAAGAAATTATGCATTTGATGAAACAAATGAACATCACGAACCTGTAAAAAGGATACACTAACCACAAAGACATACTAGTATTTCAATCGTCCCAAAACAATTGTGTTACACAGTTTTCCTTGATAAAAATAACAAACAAAAAAAAGGAAAGAAAAGTCCTCGGAAGGGGTGCATAAAATAAAAATAATAATACTCTTACGGTGACAAAATAAGACTTCTTTCTTATTATATTGCTTTAGTACACGAACCAATTAAAATTCATAAATTTTAGGAACAAAGTCATTGTAATTATAATAACAAAGGGAGAGGATTGTTTATAGCATATGACCGGTAGTCTTTCTTAGGAAGAAGAAAAAAAGAAAAGGATAACGCATAAAACTAGTAAACTAGAAAATGCAGAAACATGCCTTATCGTGCATTCAGTGCGCAATAACATAATCGAGTAATAGCAAAAGGGAGGGAAAAAGGAATTAATGACGAATACGCACAGAGGTTAAGATGCATTGCAATGATTTTCACAAAATTTAACTAAGCGTATTCAAGGAAAGAAAAAAGCTTTAAATTATATCCGACTTACGTACAAATTAATCAAAATAATGATTTAGAACGTTAATGCATAATAATTTAAAAAAAAGTAGCATTCATTCGAAGCCCAAAAAAAAAACATGTTAAGTCATCCTATTATATATACAATAAAAGTACAAAATCGTCCTATGAATATATTGTTCAGTTTGGGTGTTTATATTTAGTACAAGTGGAATTTTAAGTGAAAATTCAATCTGTACAATATTTTTGAGACAGAGGGAATAATAACAAATGATGAGCATTATGTTTATAATATTTTTTAGCAAGAAGAAGAGAAAAAGGATGATGTATAAAACTAGTAAACTAAATGGCTCATAGAGATTTAAAAAAAATGGGGAAACATATTATTGTGCAACTAGTGGGCGTTAACATAGTCGGGTAATAGGACATGGAGGAAAAAAAGGATGACGAATACTGTGAAGATGTATTGTAATGATTTTCACAAAGTTTGACTAATCATGATCCAAAAAAATTGTGTTTGACTCATATTTTAATGAGTCAGAACAACAGTATAGAACGTTCCGGTGCATAATGTACTAAAAAAATTGTATTCGTTGCCCAAGAAAAGAATTCAGGTTCTTCTGTCCAACTAAAAAAGGTACAAGAATTCTCCTATGAGTATAGAGAAAGACTATTTTTTTTTTTTTATAAAGCCAAAACAGACAGCGTATTCTCGAATTCCCCTTGGCACTAACCTTTTTACAAAGCAACTTAAAAAGTTCAGGAAAGACTAGGCTTGATTTGTCGCGCGTTGTGCGACCAGTACATTTATTTTATAAGTTAATTTGATTTGTGTGAAAGATTTAGTTCTTTTCATTCAATTTACTAAAATATATCAGAATTGAATTACAATAAAATAATTTAATAATTAGAGCTAAAATAATACAATCTACTATGTTCCATTAGAGAAGTGAATTTATTGGTTGAAGAAAATTTAAATCTAAATAGTTTATTACTTTAATTTGCATAAATTTCAAGTATGATTACGCAATACTGCATACTTCCAGTACAATGTACAAGTGGTTTTTTTTCCTTAATAAAAGGTAAATATATATTAGTAAACTAACCACATGGGAAATGCTTATATGAGTATTCCCTATTCACATGGCAATGCTTATATTAGCAAAGTTGCGAGATGAGTTATTCTATTACCAGTATTTCGTTAGTTTGGTGATGCAAAAATGATGATAATAATAAAATTAAATAGACGTAGTTTTAACTTCAGATTTGTGGGTTTTGTACGTAATAGTAGCATGCTTCCTTTCTAATGCTTTGACCCTTTTCATTTAGATTATGAGAAATGGTATCCTATCTACAAGAACTATCTTGAAGGAATTACCACTATGTCTACTTTTAACAATTTCTGTCCCATTTGCTATAACAGTTCTTCCTCATAATGTGGGTGTGTACATATAGGATTTGACGTTCGAGATGCTTCACAACAAATGCAAGTTTATGTTATTTCCCATGAATCTCAAATAATCACATATAGTTTCCCAAATGAAATTAAACAAGTGATTCAATATTTGTAAAACCCTATGTAGTTTTGTGTAAAAGATAGAGATACATATGATATTATGATTTATCAGAGTCCCTAAAAGTTACAGTTGATCCTTGTTTTCAATAAAGCAAGCAGTGGCAGAAAGGCACGTCACACTCTAAGCTCACATGATTGCAAGATCAGATATGAATTACTACATATAAACTATCAATACAATTAAAAGCTATTAGTATCGCGTTTAAACACAAGTATCTCATTACAAAACCTGAGAGCTAGTTGCACATCAAGTGCTCGCGAACCAACCGTCATGAGTCAACAACATAAGCACTTTCATCAATTATTTCAGATTTTACAAACCTTTGACTACATGTATCTCTTCATCGGCTAATATTTTCTAGATATAATTCTGCTCTACATGGAGAAAAAAACTGCAAGAAGACCATGTCTAAAGTAAATACAGCTGTTTAAGCACACTTTCCTAGGACAAACTCCGAAAGGCTTACTCAGACATTTTACTATGTGATTTTATGAATATATGCTTAATTCCAAATAAAAGTACAAGAATACATTTAATAAGTATCAAGACTCAAAACTTACCATGAGTTCATATGTGGCAGTTTCGGAAATAGCTCATTCTCTTGGTTTTCTTTTCTCTGGTGGATGACCATCTCTTTGCCTCACGTATGCTTGCTCTTATACTTGTATTTTAAGATTAGGTCGGTATAAATGTCTGTTGTCAAGCCCTTTTACACATAATGAGTTTGCTTCAGCCACCAAATTCAAAATAAGTCCATATACCACAACAAACCCATCTAGAAAATTATCACAGATTTATAAAGGAACAAGCTTAACATTAGTGGTACAGGTCAAATAAAGATCTTTGTTGCAAGGAGCTAAACCAAGGTGTATGTGGTTCCTTCAACTTGTCCTTGGATTCCATTTCTTTCAGAAACTTCAATATACCAAAATCTTAAAAATATTACTGCTTTCTTGTTGATTCACAAAAAAAAAGAGGAAAAAAAAAAGAAGCGCATAACTTTCAAAATAACAATTTCTCAAAACAACAGTTAATGCTACTCTTTCTCTAAACTGTAATTAATTCAATCAGCAATTCATACATGGAATGCATCTGCTTCTTCTAAAAACGGAAACCGTCAGACAAGATTTGGAACATAGATTTCAAACAATCATGCATCTAGACTCAATGGGAAAATAATCGTGCACCCCCAACAATTTCAGAATGCAAAGTATGTATTTGAGACCAGAAGGGTGGAAGTAGTTAGGGTAGTGAAAGAGAGGGTGCAACAAGTGGTTCACGGATTCATATCGATAAGTTCAATCTTAGTTTCTAACGATTAGCTATAAAATATTGCTACAAAGAATTTAATGAAACACAAAAGGATAATTTAAATGCAAAAAAACACACACACACACACACACACACACACACTTTCAGCCCCAAAAAAAAATGCAAATAGGATCCTAAACACACTTTGAATTCAAGGGAAAGAACTATTGACTGATCTTTATATATGTTCCTTTTCAGGCATAAGATATTTACGAACACACCCGAGAACCCTTGCGTGCTGATTTTCGGTTGTTGATCTCAGAATCATCATCATAGATTTCTTCATCACTGTGTCCATCCAAAACTTGATCATCAACCTGGTTCCTCAAGATCCAGAAGAGATTGCCGGTTAACCCTACTTTTAATGTTGGATGCAGTACCAAATCCATCCCCAAGCTTCTTTTTCACATGGGCTACTTGATCATGTGGGGGGCAGCTTCTATCATTGCAAACAAGGCAATGATACAACTGAACCTGAAAAAATGGAACCACAAAAAGAGAAAACTTAAAATACAGTAGGGTATCTTATTTGATAGACTCTGAGGATGAAACAATCAATGCCAATTCATGCTACAAGATTATTTGAAGCAGTGTAATCCTTTCGTAGGATAGAAAAGGATGCAATATACTGACAAAATGTAGCATGCGTTATCATTAACCACTCTTCTTGCCAAAGAATAAGCACATGATATACAGTTAAAATTTCACTCAATCTGCGGGAATTTACTTATTAGTAACTGAAAAAAAAAATGAAGAACAAAATATGCTTAGGGTTTAAATTGTAGCCAAAAATAGCTTTCTCGCGCTTCAGAAACACGAAAAAATAAAAATCCGCGTTTTGAAAACGCTAAAAACACAAATTCGCGTTTTGAAAACGCGAATATATGTTTTTCGCGTTTCAGAAACGCGAAAAAGAAGGAGAATTAATTAATTTAACATAATCCTAATTAATTAACTTGAATCAATGAGATTTCGTGTTTTGAAAACGCGAAATCAATTAAAAAATAATTTTATTTAAAAAAAAAGAAAATAGGCATAAAAATATGATTAATTTGACTAGTTTAAAACGTTATAGGGAAATTGACTTCAAAAAATTATTAAATTTGAATAATGGTAACAGAAAATTTTAAAATTATAACTGTTAATTATTAAATTTTGAATAGAGCTATAAAGAGGAAAATTATATTGATAATTTTAATAATACGAAAATTAAATTTTGAATAAGAATATAATATTATAATTGATACTCATTAAATTAAATAGAGCTATACTAAATATAAATTATTAAAAGTATGATATAGTTATTATAATGTATTAATTTTTTAGAACATTATATAAAAAAAAATTAATAATGATTATATTAAAATTTTTTATTAAAAATGTAATCATTATTTTAAAAAATAATTTTATATGAAAAATTTTCAATAATGATAATGACGTAATGTTATGGATTTAATGAGATGTAATTTAATTTACAAATTATTTTTATTAATTATGATGGTTTTAATATAAGAAAAAAGCTTAAAATAGGAATAAATTTTATTAAATATTTATTATAATTTACCAACACTTAAGATGAAGCAACTATTAATTATGAAAAAATATAAGAAAGTTTAAATATGTGTTTCGATTTGATCGGCGAAGATGTGTTTTATAAATATTAATTATTGTATTTACGATGCAGGTGAAATCAAACTATTAAGAATATTAATACAAGTCATAACAAAATACTACAAGTCATAACAAAAGGTAAAAAAAATAAAACAAGTCATAACAAAAGGAAAAAAAACAGAAATGAACAAAAGGGAAAAAAAAATACAAGTCTAATAATACTACATAAGAAGTCTAGTACCCTACTTCTTCTTGGGCTTTTTAGCCCGAAAAAGGCTATAAGTCAATCTATCGGGCTCCTTCATCACTCTCTGGCCTTTATTCACAGCCAACGGTGGAGTCCCTAGAGTCTGACTCGATCCCTGCTCCTCATGGCGCTGATAACCCTGACCCTCAAACTGATCATCCTGGTCAGCATCCTCATCCTCATCCTCATCCTCAGCCTCATCCTCAGCCTCATCCTTACCCTGACTCTCACGCTCACCCTCAGCTGGGTTATCAGCCTGATGCTGACCCGCAACACCCTCGAACATACTCGAAAGAAAGTTACTCGTGTAATGTATCGACTGGCCATCTAGCGAACTCTGCTTAAACCCAGAAAAGTCAATAAAAGAATCTCCAAACTGACGCTGAGAAGTCTGAGGGGAGGAAAACTGAGTGAAGGAAAAATTGGACTGCTGGTGCTGGGGAGACATAATCGGACGGTAAAACGCCTGTTGGGTCGGCGAAGAATGATGTGGAGACTGATGGGATGAATGATGTGGAGACTGATGGGATGAACTGCCAGTGAAGGGAATATGAGACTGCTCATGCTGGGAGGACTGATGTGGCTGAGATGATGTGATTCTCTCTTGCCCCCCACGCCCATGCTGAGATCTGCGCGAACGCCTCGGAGGTTTGGGTGGTGGATGTTGCTGGGTCGGGTCTACAGGTGCAAGTTCTTGACTCAAAATGTCATGAACCTCAACATGCCTATCGAGATCGTGACGTACAACATTTGTTGCATTGACGGACAACACCCGCTCAGCAACCTGGGCAATCTCGCCTAAGCGATCATAACCAAAGGAGTCCGCGTCGAAAGTACGATGGCCTATAATACTCAGACTACGAACGTCCTCCATCAATGTGGCCTGAAATCTTTATTAGAAAGAATCATAAATCGACAACAGTGTTAATAAAAAGAACCAAATGGACTGTAGGCGAAATACTCACCATGAGGCGCAAGGTCTCTGCAGAACCGTGAAAACCCCTCGCATTTTCAGAACCTGATGGTACCACAAGAGATACTTCACAGTAACATACTTCACAGTAACCTGATGGTACCACAAGAGATACTCCGGATCTGCGGAAGGCTCGCCAACATAAAGATCATCAGTCCCCACAACTTGGCCGTGGCGATCATTCCAAACCTGGAGATATATCCCTAGTTGTTGTAACCATCTCCTATCGGATCCTCCAAACGGCTTCCTCTTGAGCAGGCTAGTAATTTCCGCCGCAGTGAGAAATAATGCGTCGCCGGGTATCCGCTGGTGATAACCAAATTAGCGAAATACCCTACTGGGGTTGTGTGGCGCAACGACATCACCGCAGATGAGCCATGTCCGAGATCGCCATATGCCTGTCCCACAAGACAAACCACGGCAATACGACCCAAAAGAGTCGTGGTACGGCATCCACACAAACCGCAATGTTAATTAAGTAAGAGACGTATAATTAAAAGTTCGACACCGTTAAAAAACGAATAAAACATAAGTTATACTAATTGAATAGAATACTAACATCGACAACTGCGAGAACCGCAAGCCGATCCCGTGACGCGGCCAAATTGAACCGCGTGATACCTTGAACTTTTTCTCGCGGGACCACCTGCACGGAGAAAGTAACATTAAATTGAGACATGATAGTACAAATCAAAATGTCTATATTTACGAAGGTTTGATGTATAAGATTACCTCGTGCCCAATGGACAATCAGATAGATCGAGATCCCCACCCAGGATCTTGGGTGAACCGTCAAAATCCGCTCCCAGGCCCAGAGCTAATTCAGAATGAAGAAATCATTAGCTAAAATCACCAATAATAATGGGAGAATATAAAATGAAACTAGAGAGAAATGAAAAGATAAAATACCTGAAGAAGAATCACACAGCCGGTAATAGCCTTGGCAGAAGCGGCCAGAGATGACTTGGACATGCTGCGGTACAAGTAACATAGTGCCGCACTACCCCAACTGTACTCCGAGCAAATCTCGGGAGTATGAAGAAAATGCACAAGATCGAGAGGAAAACTGTTTCTCGTAGTGTTTGAGAACAGTAATCCGCCAACGAGCCATCCAACAAAACAACGGGCTCACTGTAGGTGTGCATCATCAGGGGACAGGTCCGTCAAAGGATTATTCTCTATGTGAGTCTTTATTTCAGTGATGGAAACACTCGTCAATCTAGACTCCTCTGTCTGGAATCTAAATCCAAACATCCTCTCCAAATAGGCAGCCCAACCACCATCAGGCGTGGTGTGATGTCCTCAGAATCGGACGTCCATCAACCCGAAGGCCCAAAAGAACCTCGACGTCCCGGAGTGTGATAGTAGCCTCCCAAAAGGTAAATGAAATGTATGGGTCTCGGGCGCCATCGCTCCACAAGAGCCGTAAGGTGGCATGGTCACATCCGATGGACCCAACTCTAGAGAACGGTCCAAAACCAAATTTCTCAATATATTCCTTTGTCAACCTCGGTGCATCTTTTATTAATTTCCACGCGGCGCTATCTACGCGCCTGGGCTCCGAAATCCCTATATCATACTGTGCACCATGGAATATATTGTGTGACCTATGGGCGTTCTGGGTCCCTGCCGTAGCTTCTTTGAGGTAGATTGGGAGGAAGAAGATGATCCAATGTCCATGGCTAGTACAATTTACAAATAGTCTTAGTAAGTACAAATTAATATTATTATTCTAATCTAATTATTCTTTTATTAAATATTTTAACCCTACATTTTAGTAAATACAGATTAATATTATTATTCTAATCTAATTATTCTTTTATTAAATATTTTAACCCTACATTTTAGTAAGTACAGATTAATATTATTATTCTAATGTAATTATTCTTTTATTAAATATTTTAACCCTACATTTTAGTAAATACAGATTAATATTATTATTCTAATCTAATTATTCTTTTATTAAATATTTTAACCCTACATTTTAGTAAATACAGATTAATATTATTATTCTAATCTAATTATTCTTTTATTAAATATTTTAACCCTACATTTTAGTAAATACAGATTAATATTATTATTCTAATCTAATTATCCTATACATTAAAAATTCCAAACCTACATTTTAGTAAATATAGATTAATATTATTATTCTAACCTAATTATCCTATACATTAAAAATTCCAACCCTACATTTTATTATCCAAAACCCATATTCTAAACCCAACCCAATCCCCAACCCAAAACCCACATTCTAAACCCAACCCAAAACTCATATTCTAAACCCAACCCAATCCCCAACCCAAAACCCACATTCTAAACCCAACCCAATCCCCCAAACCCTAAACCCACATTCTAAACCCAACCCAATCCCCCAAACCCTAAACCCCCTAAGCCCAACACCCCACAAACCCTAAGCCCAACCATAAACCCTAAACCTACCCCCTCTACACCCCCGATTCCCCGCCGCCCCCTCCCCTTCATTCCGCCGCCGGCCCCCTCCCCTTCATTCCCCGCCGCCCCCACCCTCCCCGCATTCCCCCCCCCACCCTCCCCTTCATTCCGCCGCCGCCCCCCCTCCCATTCATTCCCCCGGAATTTTTTTCACCCAACCCAATCCCGAATTTTTTAAAAAATTCCACAATTACAACACCTATAATACTAGATCTATTAACGGTTCATTAAATCGGGAAATAAAATTACAAATAAAACGAACACAAAATTTATAGAAATCGAAAATTAAAACATGAATTTAAAAAAACGATTAAATCAGAGCAAAAAACACAACTTACCTCGATATATAGCCTACAAAATGCAAAAAATTGATGCCGAAACAATTCCGGCAACTCTCCCGGAAAAACCGCCGGTTTCAATGGATTACGCCGGATATATGGTTCTGTTTGAGAAACATCAACCCGAAACGCAAAAACTTAATTTAAGCACCCATTTTCGCGTTTCTAAAACGCGAAACAACCAATCTTTAAAAAATCGCGTTTGTAAACGCGAAAATAATGCCCTCCTATTTTCGCGTTTGAACGCGAAAAATACTCCCCCTTTTTTCGCGTTTCACAAACGCGAGAATAATACTCCCCCAATTTAAAATTTTAGTCGTTTATTCTTTAAGCCGGATATATGGTTATATTAATTTCGGTGATGACAAATAACTAATTTTCTTACCTTTAGTGTTTATCAAATAACTAGTGCTTTATTCGACATGTATATATCCTATAGTAATAATTAGTAATATTACTAAAATGAACTGCGACGTTTCGGTTTTACAAAAACATTACTAATATAAATTACAGAAACATCCAAACCAACACACTAAAACAAATACAAACGCAAACTGAATCATCCTCTGAGGTTTACTACATGAATGTTCAAAACAACACAAAAATACGAACACTAACAGAATAATCACTACGCTTCATCATCATCATCATCAGAATTGATATTAGGCACACCATGAATTCCATATGGATCATACAGTTTATCAATACCGGTCCTGTCAGCAGGTGGATGAGAAAAGGGCATTCGACAAAGATCATGATCTAAACTTCCACATCGTGCGCAAATCGTCGCATATGGGCAAGCCCCGGCATTATGTCCTTGTAGCTTACATAAACCGCAAGTTTGGAGTCTTCGCGCCGATTTGCTTGTATAATCCATCACACCTTTTCCCGATTCACACGCTTCCGACCTCGGCCAGCATGGTGGACAAGTTTAGTGTCATCTGGCCTGATCTGCCACGTTGCCTTTGGCCATGGTTCCATGATTGGGTTGAATTCTCCAGAAAACTGTTGGTACCATTGATGCGTAGTGTAACATGGATCAAAAAGTGGGAAGGGATCGTCACCTAGCTCACGGGCAACTCAAGTGCCCGGGAACAAGGAAATCTGAAAGTCTCGCCACCTTCCGCAAGTGCACTCTCGATTTGCATACAGCACAACTTGCTTCTCGTCACCTTCCATGGTTGATTATCAGTGCTATTGTAACCACTTCGTACTTCGGTTTCTCTTGCTAAACCGGTTGACCTTTGCCTCAATGATTTCTTCCGGCCTCTTCATACAGTTTCATTGGAGTAGGAGGTAGAACAGTCGACATTTTGGATCATATCAATGTTTGCTCGAAGCAGTTGTTGCTTTTCCGAAAGGATGCTAGGATCAATCTTTGTGATCGGGAAGAATCTAGCACCTTTCAGCACATTATTGAAACTCTCTGAGATGTTAGTGGTCATTTCTCCCCAATGATGCCCTCCATCGTGTAAACATGTCCATTTCTCAACACCCAGCTTCTGAAGCCAACGAGCAGCAGGCTCATTTTTTTCTTCTAATTTTTGCCACTCTGCCAAGAACCTTGTCTTTTGCGTCGCTGAACCAATCATTTGACAGTTGCCTCGCAGTTTCTCCTTTCGAAAATGCCCAAACAAGTTTGCTTTAACATGCTCTAGACAATAACGGTGGACGCCCATCTCTGGGAATTTTTGCAACATGATGTCCATGGCAGTAAGGATACCCTGATTTCGATCAGAGATAATACAGGTCTTCCCATCCTGTAGAACAAACTTTTTCAAATACTTCAAAAACCATTTCCAGCTGTGTATAGTCTCTTCGTCCACAAGAGCAAATGCGATGGGAACAATCGTGCTATTTGCGCACTTTACGCATGCCACAATTAGTTTTCCTTTGTAGGATCCTCGCAGGTGAGTGGCATCGATGGTTATTACTGGCCAACAAGCATGAAATAATTGTATAGATGGCCCAAATGCCCAGAAAACATACCTACATACAAACCTTTGTGAGCTTCCTGAATTTTCCTTAAACTTGAATTGCACACAAGTGTCCGGGTTTGACATGAACAATGCATCGAGGAAGCTGGGCAATTGTTGAAAATTACTTTCCCATGTACCATACAGAGCCTCAAGTGCTTTTCTTCTACCATGCCATGCCTTTTTGTAGCTACATTCGACTTGGTACCTCTTCATCACTTCTATTTGAATTTGGACAACTGCAAAATCTGGATGTTTTCGCACATTTTGGGCAACCAGTCTAGCAATCATAGAAGACGTGACATTTCGGGACTCGTTTCTCTTGTTTGCCCCAAGACAATTGTGGGAATCGGACCATACCACCATTTTCCAAGTATCGGTGGCCTTCTGTAGCGAAACTCGCGCCTTCCACAGACAATCATAGCCGTGAAGGCGCTCTTTCGGATATTTAGGTCCACACGTCTCGCATTCGACATACCATATTCGTTTAGAGCTCGTTTTCACCCGGAAAGTCCGACCATGTACCAAGTTCCATTCTCCCACTGCCGCTTGTGCCTCAGGCTTGTTGGCGAAATGTATATCAAGGCCTAGTGTCAACGGATTGCCATCCCACATTTTAATTCCATCGTTTTCTACTTCCTCTAAAGTCTTGTCCCATCCACTTATGTCGTCGAAAACATATGGGACTGAAGAAGATGACTCAAAATCAGTGTCGTCATCTGAGTCCTCATCCGATGGGACGTACTCATCATCACTGCTTTCGACACCCCCGACATCTTCATCTTCATCTGCATCTTCATCTTTATCTTCATCTTTATCTTCATCTTCATCTCCATCTTCATCTCCATCTTCATTGTCTTCAACTGTTCTACCACCACTAGTGCCGGCACCAATATCCCGCCGATGTACTTGCATAAACATGGATTGTTCTCTCAACTTTTCGTGGTACAATTCTGGCCATTTATCAAGACAAAGATAAATGAACCGAACAAGTATTATCATCATTAATGTGCACACGTGACCTTTTCCCGACCTCTCCGTCCATACCAAAGAAAAATCAATATACAGCCCTTCTCTATCAACTCCGATCACACTTAATACATTATCAACAAGTTCCGAGAAATCTAACATACGATCAATGATAAGATAACCGTCCGGCGCATCCCGCTGTACCGTGATAGTCCCATCAGGTTCAGTTGTATAAGTAGTATTCCAAGATAATTTCGCATTTAACTGTCTCCGTGAAAGACATTTGCGGCCTGCAAAATCAATTCCTACGAAATCAGTTTGCGGCCATAGTATTTACCCCGTTTACAGATTTAATAATTTTAAAATAACAACTATACGCCTGAATTTACAAATTCATTTGTATGCTCAAAATTAATATTAAATCTAAACCTTATGCCCGAATTACATAATTTATTCTTATGCTATAAATATTCAAAAATTCAATATCATTATTATAATTTTATTTTATTTTACAGAAATCGATGTACAATAATTTACAATGCTCATCTAATTTAATATTCTATTAACTAATATTTCTTTCAATTTACTTTATCACCTCAATAAAAACCACCGTTAATTGACTAAATCACAATTATATATTAACTAATAATAATGCGTAAATCATCCTATGCTCATAATAAAACATAAAAAGTACATGTTTTTAATAACGAAATAAACTTACCTCAATGTTAAAACTTAGAGTTTTAAATAGGCTTCAGGACTCAAATCAATCTTCTTTAACCTCGGAGCAACTTCTCAATTTGAAGAAAATGAGAGCTTTCACGAATTCAGCAAGTCCTCCGGAGTAAAACTTAAAATCGGAGTTCAACGAATGAAAGAAATTTGGAAAGAAAATTTGAGCTGAACAATGAAAGAAATTTGCGGAGAAATGCTGTTAAAGCTTGTTTTATATATGAATCTTAAATTTCGCGTTTAACAAACGCGAATACATTCCAGACTTATCATAAAAATACACGTGGAGACGGGTGAGTGGATGAGGAGATTTTCTGGATATTTTCGCGTTTAAAACGCTAAATCTATTTTTCGCGCTTTGAAAACGCTAGAAATTTTGTTTCGCGTTTTCAAAACGCTAAATTCTTATTTGCAAAATTTACAATTTTAAACTTACAGATTTTCGCATTTTTAAACGCGAAAATAGTTTCTCGCGTTTGAAAACGCGAAAGAAAGTTCGCGCTTTGCAAAGGCGAAAACAAAGTTTCGCGCTTTGCAACGCGTCTTACGTTTTCGCGTTTCTAAAACGCGAAAACCGATTTTTTTTTTTTTTTGCTTTCGACCCGTTTGAAGCTGAGTGCATGGAATTAACATTATTCGCGTTTGTGAAATGCGAAATGTTAATCTAATTTGATTGTTTCGCGTTTTCAAAACGCGAGAACATTATATTTGTCTACAAAATAAACCCTACACATTTTTTGTTCCACACTTTTGGGTTTGGCTCACCCAAAAGTCAAGCACCCATCAATCTGCTATACTTGTAAAACACAAACATAGCGACAAGAAATCAAAAGGAAAATAAACAGCAAGCAAATTTTTCCCATGATAAAAGTACCAGTTAGTTATCTTCAAAGATGCTAGTTAAGAAAAAAAGATTTAACCAGTTAGTTATCTTTAAAGATGCTAATCAAGAAAACGGATTTAACTAGTACTAAGAATAGTATCCAATCAATTCAGAACGTGGGCAAGAAAAGAAAAATAAAAAGGATGATCTTTTTCATCCAATTTCATACATTGAGTTATTCAGTCTAGCATAGAAAGAAAGGGAAGAACATAACCCCATGCTAGTGGCGGTCTCCCTAGTGTTCCGATCAATCCTAAGCATAGTGACAGACACAATGTAAATTGGTGAACAAAATCCGGCTGTTGCTGCTGTAATACCTGATAGTACTGCCACACAAAATACGTTCTAACCAAAAATAAATCCAAAAAGGAAAAAAAATCATAACAACAACAAACAGAATCGGATTGGCAAAACAGCATAAACGAACACAACACACAGAAGCATGCATAGTAAGCGGCAAAAAAGATGGGAGGGAAAACCTAAGCGGCAGTAATGGTGGCGGTATCAGCGGTGGTAGGGGCTATGGCTACGGTCAGCGGTGGTGATTTTGGTGTCGGCGGCGGCAATGACGATGGCTATGGTCGGTGGCGGAGGTGGTTTGGCTTTCATAGTGGTTTGAATCCGTTATCAAGAAGAAGCAGGGAAGCTGGAAAACAATTCCGAAGCTATCAACAGCAGCTACCAAGGCATGAACTTTAGGCAACCTAAAGTCTGAAGCCGGTATCAAGAAGAAAAAGGAAAGCAGGGAAACAATTCCGAAGCTACCAACAACAGCTACCAAGGCACGGACTTCAAGTATATCAGAACAGAGGAAATAAGGCACATCAACACTGAGTTTTTTTAAAAAAAATAAAGGTGAAGCATGTCATGCAAACTAATATCAGCAACGGCACATGGAGAAACAGTAAGAAGCTTTGTAAAAAAATCAGAACAAATCCAAAGCGGGGAAACAGGGCTGAATTTACCTGATCGATTCTGAAGTTGCAAAGTTCAGAGAGAGCTTGTAGTGATTCTATTTGTGAGGGTTGCTATTGTATTTATAGAGCGGTTGCCATCTTTGTATTTGTAATCTCATTGGGATTCAGAAAGCAGAGGATGAATAAGAATTGGAAATTTTACGTTTTTTTTTGGTAGTTTCCTACCATAATTGAATTTGTAATTCGATTGGGATTCAAAAAGTAGGGGACAAATTTGAATTGGTAGTTTTTCTTTTTTTGGTGATTTCCTAATCCTATTTGAAGAAGAAAAGCGGAAGTCATTTCTTGGTGGCCCAAAATAACTCCACGGCCCAATGTCAAGTTCATAGTATCGTAGAAACGCCCTCGGCGGTGCGGTAGTTTTGGTGGATAAGCCGTCGCTTGAAATGGAGAAGAGGAGAGTCAGAAGCAGTGAAGGAAGAAATTTTTGACGGAGGGTCGGCGGTACGGTGGTTTTGGTGGATAAGCCGCCGCCGGAAATGGAGAAGCGGAGAGTCAAAAGCGACGAAGGAAGAAATTTTTGACGGAGGGTGGCGGAGGGAGAAGATGTGAGGGTGAAATCTTTGGCGGAGGGTGCCGAAGGGAGGAACGGCGAAGGAGAAAGTTGAAAATATGGAGAACAACGGGTGCTGGGGAAGATGTAGAGACAAGGCATGACGATGTCGTTTATTTCATTTGGATTTTTTTTTTTTAATTCAGTAGCTTACGGATTGTAAATTATTTGGATGGGATAAATTCATGAATTGGCAGTATTGCCTTTAACAAGTCGCTGACATCATATCAACTTCATCCGACGGACGAGATCACTTTGAAGGTGGCCATGAATATTTTTTGGTCATTTAATTTCTTGCCTACTGTGCCTTTATATTAAGTATAAGGATAACTAGCAATAATTATTTTTTCCAAGCGTCGTATTCTCGAATTTCCCTTGGCACTAATACTTTTTCGTTGCTTACGAGTCGAGATAAAATCAGGTTCTTCACCCTTCGCAATTTGAGTAATGATTTTTTAAAAATTTTCCATGTTTTCTACCATATGTTGCTTTTTTGCATCTAATTGTTTCAGCGTGCATATCTCTGCATCTGTTAATAACCCCTCATCTGGATCATCTTTTTTTTGTGCATAGACAAAGACTATATTTCGAAGTGTTACGCGTATTTTCTAAAAACATCAATTTTATATCAACTACTTGATCAATTTGTATTTTTAGTAAAAAATGTAACAGTAAAGAAATTCTAATACGATTATCACTGTGGGGCGTAGTCAGTTTATGAGAATTTTTGGGATCCAATGAATGTTAGTTTGTTTACTTGTCTGAAATTTAAAAAGAAATGATGGTTTTAAATAAAAACAAACCTTAACAGTATATTTTAAAAATAAGAAACAAGATGGTGAATTCATTTTATTTAATTTCTGTTTTTTTTTCCTCCACTAACGAAAAGTTGAGAGCTCAGGTTTCACCCAGATCTCAGGTTTTGCTTCTTTTTTCTTCAACCAATTCTTTGCTATTGAGGCTTTATGCTTTGGAACCGAATCTCTTTTTTATATTCCAAATTAACGATTATTGCTGGTAAGAGACTCGATTATAATTATATCCTCTCCAAAATGTTGAGACGAAACTTGATTGCTCAGCTTAAGGAACAGCATTGACAATGTGGCGATGAAGCGCATGGGAAACGCGTAGAATGTGCTCTTACGTGTAGTCCAGCCTTGATGGCCTGACTGCAAATACCAATCATTGTTCACCGGATTCAGACCTTAATTAGATCGGTTAAGAGTCTAGGAGACAATGCTGGGTGTTTTAGATAGAGGTGCATGGTGATGAGCTAATCTAACAAAGCATCCCCAAGAAATTCAGGACGCTAGCTGATAGCATCTTGCAATTTCAGGGAGCAATATTTTCTTTTGTCGCCCCAAAATGTATTGCATTACTCCTAGATAATTAAATAATGGTCGCCCGGAAATACTATTAGAAACATTTACACCGATGGGAAATATGGCAATGGAACCACCGTCCCGGTCCGTCCAAGGAAGCTTAAGATGGAGGTTCTCGGATGAGTTGCATCTTCTTTGGTCGGTAATCTTTACAACGCAAAACTATGATATGCTTTCTCGTGAATTGTTTTTACTTTTTTTCGGTACAGAGAAAGTATCTATTTTAAAATTTATCTTCTTGTTATTGTATACTTATAAAGAACTTTTTGGGGTCTTCGAGCAAAGAATACGGTCATAATTTTCTCCGAAAGATTAAGAAGAGAAAAGGTATGCATAGAGTGATAAAACTAGAAAGCTCTATATATGGTTCTTAGAAATAAAAAAATGCAGATAACATTCTTGCGCAATCTATGTGCAATAACCTA